CTCCAAGCTCCAGCATTATCTCCTTGGCTTAGGCCAAAGCTCACATGAGCTTTTTGCTGTTTTTCTGTAAGAAATGACCCAAAACTAACCAAATCCACACCCACTGCTTGCTTCTAGGGAGAAATAAATTACTTTCTTCTCCTGCAGTGAATTCCAGGTGGACGTGGGACTTGACTGCACAGAAGTAAATCCCAAGCATTCCTGCTGATGCAAGGAGCACTTCATGGCTTTTTGGGAATCATAATCAAAGTTGCCTTTTATGTAAATGAAAAACTGAACATTGGAAGTGGAGATGATAAATAACCTGCCACTGCCTGCCTTTATGTCAGAACAAATGCTTCTTCTAATTGCAGCAAAATATTGGCCTTCCTGTATTAAAATTTATTATTGCTGTTGATTTAATATTCTTATTTCTGCCTTGCAAATTATCGAGGGCCATGGTGAGTGAGCAAATGTTTAACAGTCATCTATTTATGTCCTGTGCCTTTGTTTCCTTGGAAACATTGTAAATGGAATATCAAATGTGATGGTTTCAGCTGATATGGTGATTTTCGAGAATCAGCCCTAAGCTCCTCTCATAGCCACGGGCTCAACGTATCTGATTAAATGGAAGGAGAAAGGTAGAGCTGGGAGGGGGTGCAGGGAGGAAGGACCCGATGTGTGGCTCAGCTGTGTCAACAAGGGCTGACTCCTTTGAGGACAGATGGCAGAAGGCAGGATTACGCCATCCCAGAGCTGCACTCCCAGCCCTGCACAAAGCAGATGTGTGGAAGGAGCAGCAGCACTTCCCTCTGCCCCGTCAGTGCAGGGATTATTTCCATGTGGCTGCTGCGCATCTGGGCACCCAGGAGTGGCCAGGCCGGGCTGGCACACGAGTCAAGAGCAGCCCTCAGCTTCCCAGGCACAAAGCAGCCCTGGAATAAGGAGTATTTAGGCTCTGCTGCCTCCAAGTGTATTTATTTCTTTTACGTGGGGAGAAGAAAAGACGCAGAGGAGGGAAGAGGCTGGAAAGCAGTGCAAGGAACCTGATGACAATGGTGTGATTCTGAGGCCAAAGATTTCTCTCTCCTGGGAGGATTGGGGAGCGAGCAAAGCTCTTCACACATGACACAGCTGATGTGCAGGATGCCAGTGGTCCTGGGAAGGACAGCACTTGGCCACTGGGACCCAGAGCTGAGCAGAGCCTCTGTCATGCACAGTCGAGTCAGAAGGAATAAATAAAACATTCTATGCAAAGCTGACATGGCAGGTAGCTGGAAACTTGCTTCAGGCTTCAAAAAGGTCATTTTCATTGAGATTTACTCAGCTGTGTTTGGATGAGCTGTGAAATGAGAGTCTTGGCCACCTGGAGCCCACATTACCTGGAATGATGTGCAGGCAAGGGGGCAGTAACACAGCTGGATTTTTGGCTATACGAGTGTGAAGAAGTTGGTGAGCAGAATGCCCAGCATCTAAACATCATCTTTGTAAGAAAAACGGTTTTCTCTCTCTGTGGGACCCTCTGACACCCACGGGCAGACCTCCAAAGGAGGCTTCCTGCAAGCCCAGGCGTGACCTCGGAAACTGGCAGATGCCCTGAGGTGGGCAGGGGCTGGCAGTGAGTTACATGAACCCCAGCATCATCCCAGCTGATATCTGTGCATCCATTTCCACCTCAGCTGCAGCCAAATTCTCCCTGCCTTCACCCACTGCATTACCTCCCAGGATGTGGAGGATGAGGTGCAGCAGGGCCAGTGCTCAGTACCAGGTTTCGCTGCTTTTTGTCTTTTTCTTTTTTTTTTTAAGGAAGCTCAAACAAAAGGAAAATATGTAGTTGCCGCGTGAGGAGGTGCAGAGTGTCTCTGTGAGTCAACCATCTGAAATATGCAGTGTCCTTTTATTTCTTCCCGTCAACAGGAAAAAAGATCTGTCACTCTGGGACATCTGCTGCGGGAAAACTTTCCCGCGAGTGCCAGACTGGCAGCGCCGTGAGCACGTCAGACGAGGCGAGATGCCAGAAGGCTTTCTGCTGGTCACCAGAGCTGCTCGGCGAGCCCAGGGCTCCATCACATCCCCGCACAATGCCCTGACAGGCATTGATGGAAGTGGGGAGAGGAGCCGCTGCAGATTCACACCCGGCTGAGCTGAAACGAGAGGCCTCCGCTGCTCGAAAGCCACGGTATTCCCAAGCTGTCTTCCCAGCTCATAGGCAATCAGGATGACTGATCTGGCTCGGGTCAGGGGTCCAGGCCGGTGACCGGAGATTGGCTTTCCAAAGGCTCCTCTGAAAAAGTCTGTGAGCTGAAGGAAGCCTCTCCATCGATTCAGCAGCACAAAGAAGAGGGGCCCATCTGGAAGGGCATCGGTCTGCGCGCACACAGGCACAAAGGAGGGAGTGTGGTGAAATTAATGCAGAGCACAGGCTGTGGCCAGCAGGGACAGCAGTTTAAGTGCCACCTACAGAAAGCCACCAGTGCCACACTGGGATGCCCCATCCCTGCTCTGTTTGTTATGGACTGTGTTGTGCCGTACTGCACTGGATGATCCGTCCCTGGGCTGCCAGCTGGGGGGAAAGGAGCCTTTGCCCTCCGCTGTGCTGGCTCTTGGCAGCTTTGCAGAAATGCCCTGTATTCTGAAGATTCCCTCATACAGGCTGAGAATAAGATGCAAACCTTGAAGAGTGACACTCAGCAGCTCAGAGGGACACTGTATATCACCCCCAGTCCTTTGGAAGCATGTCCTTACACATCCAGAAATTAAATATCGCATAGGGCATCCTAGGTGAAATTGGGTTGGGTTATGTAGGAGAAGGAACCCTTTCCAACTGGTTTATATTCAGCAGGTACTGCAGCCCCCTGGCCAGGATCACAGCCCGATTCTGCCGTTACAGACTCACCCAAGCACAGCTTCTGGAGGGATGTTGCTGGTCCCAGCCACTCACTCTGTTTTCATGAGCCAGAGAGTGCAATCTCAGACTTAACTGAATCCTTTCCCAGGGAGGGAACAGAAAAGTCCTCTGCAGGACCATGGGGAAGCACAAAACACCTCAGGATCACACTGATGCCCTACTGCTTAGCGAGGCTTTGGATGCTCGTGCAGAGACTCCTTGCAAAGGCCATTTCCATATGTCTTCCAAAGTCAAACCCATAAATTATTCTTAAATAAGGAGCAGCTGGTTCACATCCCAGTCCTCCACATACTTATTTGTCATGGGAACTGAAATATGATTTGCTATATGGTACCCTTCCCACAATCACAACAGCTTTCAAACGCACGGCATAAAGAACCTGCAGGCTGCTCTATCCTCCCTTAAGGGGTTCCAAATCCCTACAAATCCAAGAGTTTGTGGGGTGTGTGCACCACAAAGGGATGTACAAACCCATCTGCATCTCTCTGCACCCAGCTAATGTGGGTTTTACAGAAAAAAGCCACTCTGTGAAGGACAGGCTCTGGTTTCCCTGGGTTTGGTACCAAAAAGGTTGTCTGGTCCCAAGTGCTTGGATGTTTGTGCTTGAAGGCCCCTCTCTGTATCACTGCTGAGATTAAGCAGCATGACGAGTTCAAGAAGAGCAAAGTTGTCCTCAAGTTCATTTAAGAAGAAATATTTTCCCTGATGAACCTTGAACATTCACAGCCCTTGAAGTGAGACACTCCCAGAGCACGAAACCAAGTGCAGACCAGTGAGGAGGAATTTAAAAAGGAGACAGTTTACCAACAAAGGTCACCAAGGAGAGCAAACGCCACCTGAGCCTGGATGCTAACAAAGCCTTTTTCTGGTGGAACAAATGAAGTCCCTTAATTACCATTTTGTAAATAAAATCTTCTTGAAAAATCAATATTTAGAGCCCGCCTCCTCTGAAGACGTTGGCCTTTGTTCCTTGCTATTATGGCAACATAAACCCTATAGTGTGATATACTTCTGGGCTGAAAATTACCTCCCCAAACCTCATTGGGTCAAAGGTAGAAAAGCAATAAACCTTTCAGAGTGATGATTCAGGGACTATTTCATGCTTCCCTGTAATTTTTGAAGCAATAACATAGAAGCATGATTTTTCAACATGCCCATGGTTAGCTTGGCCAGTAACCACCCCTTCCTTCCTCCTGCAGTGATACTCCTGCTTTTGGGATGGCTGGTGATGCCAGGTGGGAATTTTGCTAGAAATGCCCATTACACCTCTCAGGCATTTGGATTGTGATCAACCCAAATCGTTCCAGGAGCAATACAGGCATCTCAGATCTCCAGACAGGGATAGACCCTGGACACAGGGATGGCTCCATCAAAGTCCAAAAAGCTCCATCAGCCTCTCCATTTGAGAGCTTGGTTCAATGCAGCATCAGCCCACAGCTATCAGCTCCATCCCCAATGTGGCAAGGCAGCCCCACTGTCAGCTCCTTCAGTCATTTTTATTCACAGCTTTTAATGGAAAACCCCACAATTCCCCACGCCTGAGCCTTCATGCATTTTTCATTAACAATTATCCGCTATCCCAGAACTGCTTTTGATTTTTTGCTAATCATCGATTGGCTATTTTGTTCCCACACAGCTGGCATTTTCAAAACATAACAACCACCTCTGGAGAGGGCACAGCAGAAGGCTGATCTTTAATGCTAATGTGCCCAGAAACCGTCAACACATCAGGTGATGGGAATTCACATCTGAGGGACCATGAGGGAGGAGGTATTTATCAGACACAGCCTATGAGGCTGATTTTACTGTGCTATAAGGCTGGAAATCACTTAGCAAGTGACTCTCTGGTGTTGCATCAACAGCCACATCCAATTTCCAGTCAACCCTGTCCTGAAGCTGCTGTCCCATCCCAGCAATGATGGGCTTCTGGAGTCCCCTCACCTTGTGGGTTTGCTGTGGTTGGGTTTGGAGCTACTGCACATGTGGGTGAGAGAGATGCCCAAGGGCCCTTCCCAACTTTGGGAAGCAACAGTCCAAAGGATCCATCAGCTGTGGGTTTGTGCAGTCATGCTGCTACACACAGGAGTAGGCCTAAAGCTGCAGAAGCAAAGCAGCATCTCAAATCCACCATCTTCTGCAGGTCTGGATCTCACTTCTGGTTGTGTTAATTTACAAAAATGAAGTTGCTCCTAAAGACACATTTTGCAATCAATTAGCACATGATATGTTTTGGGATGATTCACTCTTCCTTTTTTTTCCTAAAGATCCCTTCAGGGGCATTCAGACCTCTATGGCAATATTAAGCAGAGTTTTAATCCAAATGAATTTTCTAGGAAACCATGTAATCTAATTAAAAAGCTCATAGTGCAGTTTAGTAGCTTCATTACTAGTAGATTCGAGATCCATCTTTACACAGACATATATTTTCCAAGTGCAATAGACTGACAATCCAAGGCATAACCACAAACTGATTCTGCCTGGAACTAAGTGAGCTACAGCACTTTGTCATGCCCATGAGAGTGAAACAAAGGACAACTTGAAAAAGCTCAAACCACCCCCCCCATCCGTTGATGTGTCTCCTCCAATTCATGGAGCTCCCAGACCTGCTGCACCAGCGAGGGCATTTTCCAGACTGACAGCTTTGGAAACACCAGGCATGGCCACTTGCCTGAGGCTGGGGGTTGGAGTAGACCAAGACTAGTGTGAAAGAAGACAAAAGTTCAACACTGTCTAGTACAGCGGCCTTAGGGCTCAGCTTCACAATCGTGTTACTACGGCTTGAGAAGATGCCACGTGTCAGCTGAGCCCCAGGAACGGGCTGAGCTCCCTCAGCCTGTGCCAGATGCTGTAATCTGATCATTTAGATCGCTGTGGAAAAGACTGATGCTAAATTGCATTAAATGATTCCCATAAGAAATCGGTTCCAGTGACATTCACCAAGTTGCAGCTCACACGCACATGTAGAGCAGCTCCAGGCACAGGGACCTGGCCAGAAGACAGAACCATGACCAAAGATCCGACTTCTACTTCCCTCCAACAGTGAAAAGGAATGATTTCACAAGCAAGGCATCTGGGTACAACGCAGAGCTGGATTCAGTGTCAGTTTTGTCATGGATTTAATGACCGCTCGGAAATCTTTGGTCACTTCTGACTCTAATTCCTCATCAATAAAAGGGGATGCACTAATTTCCCTTCTCCCATCTCCACTCTGTACATATCACAAGGGCAGACATGTCTCAGAAACCCATGTAATGAACTAGAAGATCACAAGCCTGCTGTGAGTGGCATCTGTATGTGCACACACAAAGCTCCCTGAAGCTCTAAAAACTCCCAGCTCAGAGAAAACCTCCACTAACAGAGATTTTATCATAGCTCACACCTTATCCTTCTTCCATCCTTCACATAACAAAGCTTTAAAAACCCCTCAAACCTGAAAACAAAAAGCCGTATTATATAGAAACTTAGAAAAATAAACTCACTCTTCTCCCCAGAGGAACAAGTCATGGTGCCTGCACAGCACTTCCCAACTGTCTAAACTGACCTCCAGCGAGGTTGGGTAGCTGCTTTCATGAGACACATTTGTTAATATAGAGAGCAGCTATATGACACCACAGAGTACAAACCTCTACCAATAATTCAGGTTTACAACACAGGTGCTATTATTTTGTAGTATATTGTTCCATGCTATTTCCATAGAAACTACATCGTCGACTTGTAATTTTCCCACTAAGTGCATCCCACTGTATCATTTCCTCAGTACAAACATCCTCATCCCCTCACAGGAAAATGCAGTTATTTAGTACTCAGAGAAAACACTCTTCCCTGGTGAGATAAAAGGCTGAAGTTTAGTGAAAGTCAGGTTCCGTGCAAATATTATTTCTAATGTATTTGCATTTGCACACCCAGGCAGGTCAATGTTCAGGGGTTAAACACAGTTTCTCCAGTGCAGAGTGAGTGTGGTTCCTGTCAGCTCCAGGGACAACATTTAGTCCTTCCAGAAATACCCAGATGATGACCAGGACAAAAGAATAACTTTTACTAGGTTCATGTATCAACAGTCAAAATCTAATGCTGATGTCCTGGCACAAAAAAACCACAGAGCACTGAAATATAAGCCTACAAGATGCAGGTAGCAGGAGCAGTGCTTTACTGTATCAAAGCCCAAATTGAAGCCACAGATCTCCTTCTGAACTTTCCACCTTCAGATCATCTCTTTGCTATGCAGAAATCAATCCAGCATCCCTTTGCACTGCAGTGCCAGCAGGACTTACCTGTTGTTATTCTTCAGCTTGATGTGGTCGCTGGTCTCCAGGATCTGCCCGTTCCTCAGCCAAGTGATCTGGGGAGGGGGTTCCCCTTGGGCCACACACGTGAAGATGGCAGTGGTCCCCACTGGCCTGGAAATGGACTGGGGATGCTGCACAAACTCTGCAGGGGCTGTGAGGAGGAAGAAGAAGGAGGGTGAGAAAAGTCATGATGATCCCTCTTTACCCTGCTACAAAGAGCAACCTTGCAAGTAAGCCTTGTCTGACTGGGAACATGGGATACTTGGCCAAGCCACAGCACAGGCAGCAGATAACTGTTTTGGATGGTGTGTCTGTGATCAGTGCTATTTGGTTGCCCATCCTGGCAGTCACAGCTTCATAGAAGGCATCTGAAGGCCAGTTCAGAACTGATGGAGAGCTGAGGTGAGTCCTGCAGGGTTCAGACAAAGAGCAGCAAGGTTTAAGCCCCCTTACCTCTCCCCAGTCTTCCACTGAAAGCAACCCCGATGATGAAATTGGGAAGATGCGCTGTTTCATCAATGGCAGAGTAAGATCAACACCCTAGCTTTGCCCAAAGGACCCGTATAGCATCAGCAAACTGCTCCAAATGGAAAGAAATGTATGGATGTCGTACAGCAACCTGTCAGGGAGTTCTCTCCCCAGTAAATATCAGATTTTCTGTAAATCTCACCAAGAGACTGGAGAACCTTTTTTACCCCAGATCTGCAGCCTGGGACCGCTGGAGTCCTGCCAAGCCTGGCAAGAGACTCCACCATGCCTGTAGCTGCTGCTCACCTTGTCACCAAATGTTTTCACCTTTGACAATAACACTCTTAAACAGAAAGTGATTTCTCCCTTCCAGCAGCTCAAATTAGATTTAAAATCATTTATCAGGATAAACCAGCATATCAGCCTACAGAAAACAGGGCCTGACAGACACAGCCAAAGAGGTGAGATTATTCAAGCAGTTCTGCTTCAAAGGGCAAAGTGATAAATATACTCCATGTTGCTACTGAAACTCAAAATCAGGTGGAACCAGCAGCAGCCACAATGAAGACAGATACGAGGCACAGGCCCATAATAAATTCACTGACTAACATCACATAACCGATGGTTGGTGTTAAATTTTTTTGACAAAAGCAAGATTATCCAGGGAGACCCACTCAGTGCCACTCACCAGCATTGTCCAAGCATGAGGCTAGGGGGCTCTGCCACCAGCAGAGATGTAGGGACAGGAGAAGGGAGCAAACTGGTCCAGCAAACGTGTTGAGGAGTGGCCAGGCTGCAGGCAGGATGCAAGAGCTGAGCCTTGTGGTTCGTGGCCAAAACAGCCCTCAGGGTTTGCTGTAGCAGTTCAGGGGGATAAAGCTCTTCCCCAGCTGCGTGCAGGCAAGAGAAGAGCGCTGCTGCTGCTGCAACATGGCCCAACTGCAGCGAAAGGGGTTTGTGTGTGTGAGTGAAGTCATGCATGTTGGAAGTCCTGCAAGCAGGAAGACACAGAAATTCATCACAGAGCCCGTCCCCCTCAAAGGACCCCCCCCTTCATTTTTAATAATCATAGGGAAGTGGAGCATGGCACTTACGTTGGTGTCTGCCAACAGAGTTTATTGTCAGGCCACTGCAGCTGGCACTCTGGTCTACTAATGGACCTTATCTCAGCAATCAAATGGACACATATTTCCAGAACCTCCCACTAAACTTCCCAGGTGCCAATCAACCTCTTGTCCTTTTACTTCCCTCCTGTGTTTTAACTCCTCTAGACCTATAGTTTAAAATAAAATTCAGGACACAGATTCAATAAAAGTTGAGAGCAAGGATAAACAGGGGGAAAATCCCTCTTCCCTGCAGTGAATGGTCCCTTTGTGGCGTGCAGCGAGAACATTAGAGACTTGATTTCCCTCATCCTCCCGCCCCCTGCTTTGTGCTGGCGTGGTTTTGTGGGAGCAATTATTTTGCAAGTGGCTGTGCACCTCCCTGCTTTCATCTGGGCTCACGAGCTGCACCCGCAGCCCTCGCAGGTGCAAACCCACGATGCCAAGGAAGGGCACAGCCACCTTCCAGCTCCCTGATGCAGATTCATTAAAGGTCCCACTTGGCTCTCTGCCTCCACCTCCCCCTCGCTCCATCAAATCTCAAACCCACCGTTTGTTCCAGCAGAAACAAAGTTTAAATATGGATGCATAACCCTCCTGGAAGCGCCGGCTCTCCTTATCCTCCCTTATTAGCCCATGTCAAGAGGCAGTAATTGGAGCGGTGTCGCGTGTGACTCGGGGTAACGAACGTGCAGCTGCGGCCGCTGGCTCGGCGCCAGTGGTGCTGTTCAGTGCCATGGCCCCGCAGGTTCCTCGGGTCCCTGCTCCCCTCTGCTGTCCCTCCTCTTCGCTGCCCCACTAAACACCACCAGAGCAAAACCCCAGCTCCAGTTTAACTTGCTTAAACTCTCTGGGGAGCAGGCTCCTTGGAATGGCTCCCACCTCTGCTGCGCTGAGCTGTCCCTGCTCCCATGGCATCCCTCGCTGCAAGACTTGGATGCCCTTCTGCTGTTCCTGATGCTCCTGGCTTTTCCCAGGCATTGCTCTGTCCCTTTCAGGTCTCACCCTACTCCTTTTGGTGCAGAAGGAGCACTAGAGTGGAGCTGTAGTGACAAAATGGCCCAGGTTGTCAAAGCAGAAACCCATGGTCTGGAAATCCATGGAGTTAAAAAGAAATGGTCTGAACGCCACGAGGGTCCTAACATGGACATTGCTCCAAGGACATGCTCCTCTGGTACCCTGGACCTGGTGTCCATACCAGTGTCCTCAGGCAGAGTGCCCTCAGGCAGCTGCTGGTGCATGTCTTGGGGCAAATGGCTCCTTTCCTGGACAGAAGAATGTCTGCTCTCCTCTTCCCGAGTCCTCTCCCTACCCTTCCAAACAACTTCAACAGGAACCAAGAATTTGCCATCTCTGTCCCTGGATTAGTGGAAAGGGAGCAGAAGCCAAGCTCTGCCTGCTGCCAGCCCTGCCTGGAGCCAAGCCCTGCCTGCTGCCAGGCCCCCAGCCCTCGTCATTCATAATTAATAGAGCATCTTGTCAGGGCTCATCCCACCCTGCATGGACATGCAGTGCCCTGAACCCCTCTCCCTCTTCCACACCAAATGCCAAAAGGCCACTGCAGGCAGCCAGAGGAAGCGTTTCTCAGCCCTCCACCAAGATCTTAACAAAGGTACTAATGGAGATCACTGTTAAGAGCAGAGGATTCACACCTGGCAAGGAGGAGTGGGCAGGATCCAGCCCTGGCTTGTGAAGTATGAAGAAACCAGAGCATTGATTATTCAAGACTTAATGGGAGGGAGGGGATCATGCAGTTGTAATGAATATTTAAAGGCGTGACATTGGTATCCAAAAGCAATAACGCTTCAAACCATCCCCAGAATCATTAACGAAGTGATTCAATAGCTTTTACTGTGCTCAGCAAACTGTGATAGCAATGGAGATGCACTGTCACAGCGGCTTGAAACGGGAGACCCAGATGGGCTCCATCTCTCTGGGGACATCTCATGTCAGCAGGGACACCAGTGTGTCCCCCAAGACACCAGGGAGCTTCACTCTCCTTGCCATGAGGTTGCTGCTTATTGCAGCACCTGATGGCTCAGAGAAGGTCCCAAGGATCAGGGAGCACTGACAGGTCACTGAGAAGAGCCTAAGGATTAGAGAGCACAGAGACAACGCTCCAGTGCCAAATGGATCCATACTGCACCTCAGTATGAAGGGTCAATAATTCTCAAGTAGCCTGTGGCGGGGGGGAGGGAGGGAGGCTGAGGTAAGGAGAAGGAAGAATAACATGGAAACAACAAAACCTCATAAATTAGGCTAGTGGCACCTACAATAAGGGCATCAAGCAGAAGGCAGGTCAACAGGGAAGTCAGTCAAGCATAGCAACCAGTGACAGGAGATTTAAGACAACTGCTGCTCACTTGGCTTCTCTCTATTGACTACAGAGGATGCCCAGATGCTTATGTGAGTGATGTAAGTAGCAGTGATGGGACTGCAAGGGCCAAAAATGGAACCTGTGCTCATGTTCCCTGGAAAATAGGCAGAGACCACTCATGAAGGCTGTTGTGGAGGCTGTCCTTCAGCCCTCACAACATTCTTGTCCCAGCAAGGTGCAGGCTGGAGCTCCACAGCAGTGGGATATGTTCCCACATCACCTACTGGTGTAGTCCTGGAAGAGTGCTCCAGAGGGCTCAGACACCCCAGCTTACTCAGTCATCCTGATGGACAAGATTTGAGCACCCACCTGTCCCTGTATGGTGTCTCTTTTTGAGAAGGAAAATGTGGACAGGAAGAGAACTGAGGGAACTGTCCATGGGGGACACTGACTCAAGCAGCACATATTGAAACTAGTTTGCAGCATGAACTTAGGGCTAAACTCAAAGGACAAACCAAGTACAGAGCCAAGCCTAAGCCACAGCAACTGCAATACATCTGCTTCTGAATTCCACCCCGCAGCCACGGCTCGTGATGCCAGTGAGCAAGAACGATGGAAGAAACATCAGGAAGCGCAGCGGTGGCCGGATCTGCTGGACCAAGGAGCGCTGCCCGGTCCTGCCAGCAGAAAGCAAGGCAAACAAGGCAGTCATTGTCAGCAGAGCCTTCAAACCCATGTCCTTAAGATGGGCCCTCATTTATGAGATGGGATCTCATTTTTCTGCATAGCTTTCAGGAGGAAATGAAGCGTGGAGTGGAGAACACTGGTGACCATCTGGCCATTCACAGCCCATCAGTTTGTTATGACACCAAACACATAATAAAGCACAAAAGATTGCACAGGAGGTAGAGGGAAAGCGCTTTGATATATTTTTTTCCCTTTCCACCGAAGCCTGCTCTTCCCTCGTCCCACATGCACACACACCCTCCACTTCAGCCGGCGCTGCATTCGGCCCTTCCACAACTCCCCCCGTGAGACTTTCACTGGCAGCTCGGCACAAAGCAATATTCAAATGGCTGTGCCGGGATCTGAAGGGAAAATGGAAACTTTCTTGTGTGAGAACCTTACAAAAGAGATCAAAGGAGCCTAAATGGCCAGGGGAGGGCGGGGAGGGAGGGAGCGGGGGATTGATGCCTTCTCCTCTGGAGGGAGGAGGAATTCCCAGGAAGATAATAAGATGGCGTTAGATGATCTGAAGGAAAGCCTGCATTGGGAGGAACATTACTGCAGGAGGAAGAGCAGGAGGAAGAGCAGAGCCCTGCGCTGGGACACCTCTGCTCATGCAGCTGTTGTGATGGGACAAGGACCACTGCTGGCAGCAGGAGGGAGGACGCGGTCTCAGCCCCAGCTTCCCGCCAGCTTCTCGCCTTACAACAGGAAACATCGCCCTTTCTCCCCGCGTTTCCCACCTATAAAACGTGTCTCCTTCAAAAGGCGCAGGGCAAGTTAATTTGTGCCTCCGGGCACTTCAAGGGCCCCTGAATAAAGGCAGCAAGTACCTGGCCTGGCGTGCTTTGAGGACGCTGTATTGTCCTAGCCCTGTGCTAACTTCCTCTCCAACCAGGCTTTTGATAGCCCACTCTTTGCTTTTCTTCTCTTTACGGATGTAATTTGCATCGCTGACATCTTGACAAAGATAAAACCCACAGTCTCCCATGTCAGTCATTATCGCTGTTTTCTTCCCAGACAAACCTGAACAGCAATCATTTGTACCTCTCAGCTGGAAAATTCAGGCAAAATGAGATGCACAGGAAGGAAAAGCTGCTTCCAGAGGGAGGGTGAGCAAACCTGGGATGAGCTCAGCTGCCTGGCCAGGGTCTGCCATTACCCTGCCTGGGCAACAACAGTCCCCCAAAAAACATGAAGCATTTTAAGGATGGGCAACACAGGTTGGGGTCCTGGACACTGCAGCTCATGTCTAAGGGCTACACCAAGGACACACTGGCCACACTCCTCCACACCACTGCCAACTTCTCTGCTGATGCTGAACACAAGAGCATCCCTCCCCCACAGCAGGGCTGGGCTCCAACAGCCTGTGATCAACATTTTAGGGACAAATTCTCATTTTGGTTCCCTGGACAAAAATACATAGTAATTCTACCCCAGCTGAACTCCAGCACCAGGAAGTGATGTTCAACTCTCTAAAAAGCTACTGATGTGTTGCAATGAGAAGTTGTGCTACCTTTCACCCTCTTATCCAGTTGCTAACAGGAGCAGTCAACAGTATTCAATAGCTGTATTTTTAAAATTTCATAGATTTTCCAAGTACCTTCTTTTGGGTCTGCCTCCCTTCCTCCTGGACATGAGCCTGGTATTTGGGCTTAGGAAGCCTCTGCTATATGTCCCATGTGCAGAGCTGTCCTGTAGCAGCTCCAAAGGGTTTTATCTACAGCAAACTTGCTCTTCATGCCTGAGTTTGTTTATTAATAAGAGGACTCATAGTTGTGCCAGCTGGGAGGCCCTCTGGTTGCACTGCTCACCCAGAAATCCAGAGTTTTCACCTCCTCTCATGTGTGATCAGCACCTGGGTGGGGCTCAGAGGGCATGAGCAGCCCTGTACAAGCACCCTTTCTACATTGCTCCTCCCTGGCTGGCTGGATCACCACCAGCTCCTGGGATCTGTCAGGTGAGCATCAGGGCTGGAGCAGGGCACTTTGCCCATCACCAGCATGAAAGGTTCAATTAGCAGCTCCAGCAGGAGGTGTGTAATTTTAGATTCAGGATATCATCAGTCAATAGTTAATGAGTGAACTGATGAGAGCACGAGATGCTTTAAGTGGACGAGCTTGAAGAGGAGGTGAGTGCCTGTAATCAGGGGCGGATTGCTGCCATTCAGAGCACGCTGCCAGCTGGGTTTGCCTTCTCAAATACTTGCCTGGCTCCCCTCACCATGGAGACTGGTTGCATGGAGCATGTGGAGGGGATTTCTGTGGTTTCTTCAGTGCTGATCTCTACTCTGGGCTGAACTGTCCTTTAGCATTTCAGGACAGTTGCTGCAGATAGAGGAGAAACCTGCAACCCATGGGCATGGCCCCAAAGGGTGCTTCACTCAGGTCACAGCAACAGGCTCAGACACAGTATCTACTGCTGAAGAAAACAGTCCTGCAGACTTTTTGGAAATGGTTTTAGACTTAACGGTGCCATTTCAGTTGGAGAGCAATACTCCATGAGTGGTATCTACTGCTGGATATCTCTGCAGGAGTGGTATCTGTCACTCAGAGGTGTCCAATATGAGAACAGTGACCATGTCCTTGTATCACTAAGGACCATGAGACAAATTTGGTTGATTAATTCAGCCTGGGCTTCCTGCTGAGATGTAAAATATATTAACAACAAAAAACTGAAGTCTGCTAAGCCAAATAAATGCCTGTGATGGGGTGGGAAACCACTGCAACTCTTACAGCTGAGGCCACAGTAGAATGATACCTGGTTGCTACTCACCCGTGTGGGACACAGACACACACACCCACTTGGGAAACCACGTGTCTGGTACCATCAGAGGAGTGCAGTCAGCAGCTCTCCCACCCACCCCATGACAGTGCCCAGGGGCCGTGTGGAGGGTTTGCTCACCTTGTACCACGAGGCTGCCCTGGGCCGTCCTGCGCACGCGGGTGCCGGGTTTGTTGGCGGCGCACACATAGATTCCAGAGTGCTGCACGGTGAGGTCTGAGATCATGAGGTTTCCTGTCCCCAGCACCTGGATCCCCTCCACACCAATTGGGCGACCATCTGAAAGGAGGGGAGAAGGACAACAGTCACATGCTGGACCTTTGTGTGAGGTTCCCCAGGACAGAGCCCTCAGTGAGGTCCAGTCCAGGCACTTACAGAGTGGTGCCATGCTCTGTTACTGGGATTTACCAAGTAAGGTCAGTGGGATTCAGCTGATGCTCTTTGCAGGACACAGTTCAATAAGGAGGCTAAACCAAGGTAAATCATCTCAGCTTCTGCAAGCCATTGCCTGGGTTCTTATATCAGACTGACAAGGATCCAACCAGCTCAACAGCCTGATTCCAATGGAAAGGCTCCGAGAAGAAGTCCAGTGAGCCTGCAGCAGTGCTTCCCTGAGGCACTCTCCCAGTCATCAGCAATTCATGACCTGGGGACTTCCTGACCAGAAGTGACACTTTCTTGCCTGCTAACCCTTGACAGATTTTTTGTGGCCTTGAAAAATACATGAAGACTGGATTTTCAACTCTTTAGCTCTTGAGCATACAGCAGCTCAGGGCCAAGGAGCCAGACTGAGCTGGTGGTTACATCTCCTCAGATGCTTTGGCTTGGAAGGGAAATTGGAAAGGGCTGCCTCCATCCTGAATGATGGATCTGAGGCATGTGACATAGTTCAGTATCATGGAATTCACTTTTTTTTCCAACAAAGCTTGTTTTCTCTGGAAAATTCCCAGGCAGCTCTAATTACAACGTGTTTCATTAGTATCAGGCTATTGCTTTTTATTGTTTCATTGATTTGTGTTTTAAGGCACTGTCTGACAAAGGCAGCTCTAAATCAGGCCTAGCACGTGTCAGGGTGTCTGAGCAGAGGGCAAGGGGAGGAATTTTACTGGAGGAGCAGCTTAAGGGAGCACACTTTCATCAGATGGGAAATGGGAATTCAGTTCTTCTCTCAAGTTTGCTCATGGAGAACCTACAGAAATGGGAGAAGCAAGAACCAGCCCGGGTGATGTCCCCACCTGACCATCCCAAGAGCCCTCCACACTTGTGTACTCTGCTACAGCAGAAAAATTTGAGTCTTGTGCTTCGAAGTTGTGGTTAGTAGAAGGAAAAATTCATCTGAAAAATTCCTCCTGGAAGCTCTGTTGGAATGTGCCATAATCTCGCCATGAGCTTCATGCTCCAACACAGACAGCATGCAGGGTTAGTTAAAAGTTATCCTGCAATCACGTTTTAGATGTAATATCATGCTTTGCATAATAAAGAGTATTATGAGGATTTGGGCCATTCATAACTAACAGGTTCTGGAATAGATTGGGAAAAGATGAAGGCAAAGTAGTGCTCAAAGAGAGGGACAAACCAACCATCAACTGAGAAATGCCACTTTGCAACCTGCTGCCCAGCCAGTGCTTGGGTCCTCATGGAAAGGCAGGTGATGGGACAGAGAGTCACGTCCCTGCAGCATCAGTGAGGGCAGCACAGGTCACCACCTTGCAAGCCTTGGCCAATGGGTGCTCCTCTCTCCACAGGCCCTGCCAGGACCCTGCTCCAGTGTGGGCTTCCCGGGGGGTCATAAACTCCTTTGGGCATCCACCTGCTCCAGTCTGGGGTCCTCCATGGGCTGCAGGTGGATCTCTGCTCCCCTGTGGAACTCCATGGGCTGCAGGGGCACAGCTGCCTTACCATGGGCTGCACAGGAATCTGCTCCAGAGCCAGAAGCACCTCCTGCCCCTCCTTCCTCACTGACCTTGGGGTCTGCAGGGCTGTTCCTCTCATATATTCTCACTCCTCTCTCCAGCTGCAAATGCACAGTTTTTGGTTTTTTTCCCCTTCTTAAATCTGTTCTCCCAGAGGCACTACCCCTGTCACTGGTAGCTTGGCCAGTGGTAGATCCATCTGGGAGCCAGTCGACATTAGCTCCATTGGATATGGGGGAAGCTTCCAGCACCTTCTCATAGAAGCCACCCCTCTAACCTTCACACTACCAAAACCTTGCCATGTAAACCCAATACAACCACAAAAGCAAGGGATCTCATTTTGGATTAACAGCAATATCACATTAGGAAACATCAGCAAAGCATGGACAGAGAGCTACAGAGCAGTTCCCAAACCTATCTCATGCCACGCTCTTTACATATTGTTTTTCAGGAAATTTTGAAACTTAAAGGCTTCCTTGCTTCATTAGGAAGGCAATGCCAGACCCCTTCATTATTTCCATTGCAAAGAAAAAAGCCCAGGTCTTTTAGAGAGAGAAAAACAATGCCATTAAATGATTACATGATCACATAGCTGGCCAAGCCACTGCTGCAGTAAATGGCTCAGTCATTAATAGGACAGTAAAACATGACCTGTCCCACATTTAATGAGCAGTAACAAGGAACCATTTCTTCCAACCAGCACTTGAACTGAAGTGTAGAGAGGTCTGAATTAAATTCAAATTGAACTTGATTTCATCTTTTAAATTAGACCTTTTGGAAGTCTGTATTTACAATAGGCATAAAAATCAAATCTCTCTCTTGAGGGAGGGATGACACCAGTGAAAGATGCAAAGTGGCCGTACCTGGATCCTTCATCACATCATTGCCTTGACAAATACCACAGAAATGTGACTTGAATGTCAGTAGTTTTACTGTATTATTTATAACGTGCTCCATAAATTAAGCATGCAAAGACCCAGCCAGCAGCAGGTACTCCCCACAGTCCAAATACCAGCAGCAGTATGTCCTCAGTTCTCTCTCTAGCTCCAGCTATTAACTAGAGGTGTGGTGGTCTGAAGAAACATCTCCTGTAAACCAAGAATCTTTCATTTCCCTGGAGGACAAAGCTCTCCAAGCTCAGAAACCTCAGGGATCTGCCATTTGGGTCAGAGAGTGTGACCACCTCTAACAGCCAGCAAAGATCACTGCCAGATCATCCCAGACACCTCTCACTCAACTCCTCCCTTCCAAAGAGCACTGAAAAGGGCTTCTGCAGAAATACTTCTACTTTCCCAGCCTACTCCATCCTTCTCACTCTACTGTGCCTCACTCAGCCTGAGCTGTCCTGCAGTCAGTTAGAAGGTCTTCAGCTAATATCTAGTCCAACTTAGCAACAGTGACAACACATATAAATAATACAGAGTGTTTACCCAAGAAATTCCTTGCATCCTGAAAGCTCAGCACTTTGCAGAACTGCTGTGCTGAGGGACTTAATCTCACACCTGCTTTGCAAAGGTTGTTATTTATTTTAACCCTGTTTTCTTTCCACAGAGACCTGAAGAGTGGCTTGGATCAACCAATCCCAACCCTGTGAATCCCAGCATCACTTGCCATCGCCAAGTCATGTCTCCATGGAGGAGAACTGAAAGACTGCAAAAGCTAATACTCGCTCAGTTCCCAAAGCTCTCGGGACCCATGAAGGCTTGAAACCACTGCTCATTTAACGTGACCTTCTACTTCTTTTTATGAAGTCAAAAGCAGAAAATTTGAGGGCTGAAAACAAGCCAGTCTGTGTGGAAATGTCACACAGATTCTCTCTGTCGATGCTCAGTTGATGAGGACAGAAGGGGGAGGTTCAGCTGTTGGGAAGAGCAGACAGACCCCAATGAAGGAGACCATTCTCCAAATGGGAGATGCTCGCAAAAGATGCTCCAACTACAGCCTAGTAGAGACTTCACAGAATCATAAAATAGTTTGGGTTGGAAGGGACCTTAAAGACCATCCAGTTCCAACCTCTCTGCCATGGGCAGGGACACCTTCTACTATCCCAGGTTGCTCCAAGCCCTATCCAACCTGGCCTTGAACACTTCCAGGGATCCAGGGGGCAGCCACAGCTTCTCTGGGCAACCTGTGCCAGGCCCTCCCCACCCTCACAGGGAAGAATTTCTTCCTGATATCCAAAATAAATCTACTCTCTTTCAGCTTAAAGCCATTCTCCCTTGTCCTGTCACCACACACCCTTGGCAAAATCTCCCTCTCCAGGCCTTCCTTTAGGTACTTCCATGCTCCCTGGTGGGATGGAGTCTGGATGAAAGACGTCTGCGGTTTGGGAGCCGCGTTATTTATTTTTCCAAGGTGTATGTGATGCTTTCTGGAGCCCATTCTCCGCCTGCTAGCCGGGTGATTGGCACACCGGCACCAATTACGGAGCCCCCTTAAAACGTGCCAGGCGATATGAATATGCAACAACACGAACGCCTTTCTTTGATAAGTAGCAAGTAGAAAGAAAGTAACAACTTTCTAATGTTGATCATTTAGGTCTTTTGTGAATTCTTTGTATTGTGTCATAGTAGCCTTCCACTTTTTAGACACATGGGTCTCCTGCTCGGGCGGACACTGGGCACTGTGGATTAGCATATTTAGAGTACATTGCAACAGTTGACTATTCAGTGTGTGAAGTGGTGAAATTTACTCTATTATTTCTAAACACTTACGGGAACGGTGCTCCTGTCAACCAGTCAGCCATCTATTGCAAGCTTCTGTGTCCAATAAGTTACCAATTAATTGGCTCCTACAATTGTTGTATAGTTTACTTCTTGAATGGCTCCCTCTTTAGTAATTTCCTTCCCATTGTGCGGCCCTTTCTGACAACTTCTGTATAACGCTATCAGATAATCACTGTCCTTTCTTTCTCGCCTCACTTTTCTATATCTCTCTAAATAGTTTATTATTCTGCCTTGGTACCTTTTATGGAGGCCAGCTCAGTGGCCTGTCAGTTAAAGGGTAAGGATACATTAAAATCGTCGTTCATTCAAAAGGCTTTGCAGTAAGTGCCCAGGATATTCATTTGTGCACACATACAGGTCCAAGCCTGAAGTGCGTAGCTCTGAAAGGAAAAGCCCTATCTTCCCTGAACAAACCCTTAATGATTTTACATCTTTCTCAGAGCCTGCTCTCTAATGAATGTTGACATTTCATGCACGGCAAGACACAGGAATTCTGTTTGTGGTCAGGGGGCTACAACATATTCCCAAGGAAATTAAATTCAAAATTGATTGTGTGACACTCAAAAACTGGCCCAGAATTTGAATGATTCCCTTCAAGCAAAATATAGCTGCCTTTCCCACTGAAAACCAGCAAGGTTTTAGCAAAGCCAAAGCAAAAAGTGCAAGTGGTGTTTATGGTTTGCTTTCCCCCGTACCAGAAAGCTGTGAAAGCAAAATTGTTCTTTTGCTCCTTTTTGACAGAAATGCCACAATGTCAAAACTGTGAGCAAAGGAGATCAGAGAGAGACTCCAAAACAGCAGCGTGCCCTGTGCAAAGCCCAGCACAATGGCAATGCCACAGCTCTTCTTTACTTTGACCAGGCAAGAAAGGTGTTCACATAGAAGTGACTTTTTTGGTTTAAATTAAGTCAGGTCTATTGCTAAATCAGCTGCATCTCTCTAAGACTTCGTGGCCATGGATTTTTTTAATCCTGGGAACGGATTAAAAGTGGTTTTTTTCCTAAGCTGAGTAAATTCCTGCCCTGGCAGGGGGGCTTGGACTAGGTGATCTCCAGAGATCTCTTCCAACCCTAACGATTCTGTGCAATTAACTGGTTATCGAGAGCTAAACCGGCTCTGTAGGAGGAACTTCAGGAAGACCTCCCCATGGGAGGAAGCCAGAGATGACAGATACTCTTAGGATCTCCCTGTCCAGAATAAACTCCTCTCCGTCCTCCTGATCACGCAGACACAGAGACATGAAAGCGCTTCCAAAATGGCTACAAAGAGATGACAAACCCACCGAGTCATCAGAGAGCCTGTTCATGTGCCACATCACTGTCGAGATCTGTGTCATATTAACAAGACCTCGTGATGCTTTGGACAGGAACCATTCCTGCTGAAGGGGAGGGAAAATAACAGGATCTGTTTCCCATTCAGTAGCTCTCATTCTGCCCCAGTGCTGCGTGGAGTGGGTATTTATTTTTGGTGGAAGGCAAGGCTGAGCTCAGACCATCCAGACAAACATCGCACGGTGCTATTACATCTTCATTATTGCACTGCTCTATGGAGACAAGTGTTTTGAAGAAGGTAATAAGCACTTATAATTAAGGCAATTATAAAGTAGTTTATTATAGTTGAGCGCTAATGTAGAGCTGCCTTGTGTCCAAGAGAACCAAACCAGTGATACAGAGTGTCTGGGGAATCTTTAAAACAGCATCAATCTGATACTTATGGCTCCAGAGGCAAAAAAAGCAGCTAGTGGCAGAGACAGGCTGATTTTACATGCCATCAGAGGATGCAAGCAGGAGGGTAAACAGAGAAAAATCATGCAATTGATTCTGGATACATGTCCTCATTCCCTGTCAGACAAGTCTGGAGTGGGAAGTCACCCTGCCCATGAGCTGGACCCTGGCCCTTGGAGAGCCACAGAGGTGAAGTCCCACATCCAGCACAGCAGCACAAGACAGAATTACCCTGTTCGTGCTTCACAGCCACCTTGGGGAACAAGGGGAGATGAGCATCCCAAAAACAACATCACTTGTGGACCACAAGGGCTTGGGAAATACTAAGTGAACCCAACCCAATACCGCGCGCACAGGCAGAGTTACAAGCTCTGGAAGATAAAGCAAAATCCATCAGCTCTTTGCTCAGCACGGGTTTCTGTAGGGCAATGGAAGTGCTGCTCTGAGCAAAATAGTTTCCAAGCTATTATCACAAAGTTAGAACCTAAAACAACCCTTGGAGAAACACAGCCCTTTGCTCTTCATCGTGTGCATGATGCCATCTGACACTATCTCTGTTTCCACGCTGATTTAAAAACATATCACGGACCCCAGCAGCAAGCATTTGTTTTTTTCAGAGCTTCAGACACACTACTTTAAACACTCTCTTTCCCTCAAAATGGTTTTAAAACTCCCTGAACAGGTAGCAAGTTTCTTTCAAGTCTCTTTTTACGTGAAATATGTGTTTGTGTATGATTTTGCTTCTCTAGGCCAACAGTGGTGATGTTTTTGATGCAGCAGCAGCAGATGCTGTCACTCGAGAAAAGATAAAATTATCACCTTTCAAGAAACATTTACAGGTTTAACCAACCCACTTCTCTAACAGCTGAAAACAGGATCTTGGCAGAGAGAAAAACCAGTGTAGACATGAGGATAAAAAGCACTTCAAGCCTACAATTAGCTTTAGCAGGAAGGGAGAGGGTGAATCGTTTGTTGTATAAAATAGTCAGTGGCATCTACCTATTTCCCACATGATGGCTACGGGGAGGAGGAGCAGGAGGAAATCCCAGTGACCCCAGGGCTTACCGAGGCGGCTCCAGGAGACGATGGGCCGGGGGTTGCCCGTGGCGATGCACTCCAGCACCGCCGTCTGGTGCACTGTCAGCGTGAGGTTCTCCGGCCCCACGAGAATCATGGGGTCCTTGTAAACGGTGGAGTGGGAGCCTGCAAGGACAGAATCATTGTTAAAAGGCATCTGATTATCTCTTGTTTAAAGGAAACATCGAGCACTTCACGCATCCTTTAAGTACATCTCTTCTAAGCACACATCCTCTTCCATCAGGAAGTGCAGTGAAAGGACAAGGAGCAATGAGATCAAACTGAAAGAAGGGAAATTTAGGTTAGATATACATAAGAAATTCTTTGCTGTGAAGGTGGGGAGGCCCTGGCACAAGTTGCCCAGAGAAGCTGTGGCTGCCCCACCCCTGGATGCGTCCAAGGCCAAGTTGGATGGGGGTTGGAGCAACCTGGGATAGTGGAAGGTGTCCCAGCCCATGACAAGGGGCTGGAACAAGATTATCTTTAAGGTCCTTTCCAACCCAAACCACTCTAGGACTGTAAATGATGTGGCTGGTGCAATCCTCAATAAATTTGAGATGCACCTGAAAAAAAAGAAGCACGATGTTTGCATGACAGTCACTCTGAACATGTTTTAAGTGTGCACTGATATTCCTGGGGGAACCCCTGAGCCAACTGTCCAGCCACAAACAGCCCTGTTAACACAGGGATATCAGCAGAGTAAAGAAGGGACTGCACTGTGAACTGCAGAGAGCAGATGTGCAGAAAACCATGGTATATAGGGAGGACACAAGATACAGGACAGCAGGAATGCAAATAAATGAAGGAATTGCTTTATCTTTCAGCATCTCAAGCCATAAAGTAATCCATGCAGTCCACAATGCCTAAATCTGTCTCTGTGAGCAGCCTCTCTTGCTGCTGGCTGTCATTTGCTCCAAAAGCCCTGTCCTGGGACACAGAGTGATGGAGGTGCCAGTCCCTGACTCCTGCTGAGGATCTTTTTGAGAGGTGATGCTCCTCTGATGACTGCAGCCCATGGGGCTCTAATTTCCCTGCCATTTTCCTGCAGGGAGAAGATGCATCCCATTCCTCTAATTGTGACACATTCACTGCTCACAACACAATGACTAATCATTTATTTGCACTACAGTAGCACCAAGTGGCAGCAACCAAGAATGAAACCCATCACACAAGATGATGCACAGATTTATAATAAAATAAAATCCAGGCACAGGACTTTTCACTAGACAGGACAAGAGAATGGGACAAAACCTCCATCCTGTGTCAGGAATACCACAGCTGAACCCAAATCTTCTGAGTCCTTAAAAAGTGCCTTATCCCTGGGCCAAATGTCCCTGCAGCCTTTATTCCCATTTGTTGGGAGCACGAGAGGAGCAAAACCAATGGATATTCTCAGTTCTCCATCAGCAAACAGGAACACTGAAAACCTCTGCATTAGTCTTTCTCCCCATCTCCGATGAGAGCTGGGTTACACTCCAGAAATGCTGAGGTCAAGCAGTGTTTAAGGAATTCCATCAATCTGACAGCTGCTGCTGGCAAGAAAGCTCTGTACACCTGTGGAGAGAAATACTTGTGCTGGTCATGTGCCCCCGAGCAGGAGAGGGGCACAGGGAGGGCTGGGGAGCACAGCCCCTGGCTGGGCTCTGCCGTAGGGATCATCCCACACTGACTCCTCTCCGTGGATTTTCCAATGTCCAAAAAGCTTGTTAAAGAGAAGTGATCCACCAAAAAATATCTGCAGGGGCTTTTCTCCAAGAAAAACATTCTTTTCTTCCTGCACTTCTGAGTGTTATCATTTCTCAGCAGCTCAGGGTGTAGCAGGGGGATTTCACAGTGGTCCAAGGGCAAACATGGATCAGAGCACCTCGGCTGTTAATTGTTCCTACAGGAGCTAAACAGGGAGCGATAAAGTGACTCCGAGCTCGTGTGTAAATGGGCAAAATCCAAGAAAAATCACCGTGTCAGTGTGACTTAAGAGCTGACTTTCTCACTAAATGCATTTCACTGCAAGCCATAAAATGCAGATTTTTTGATGAGAACCAGAATGCACAATAAATTCATATGACCGGCTGGTTAACCCCAAGAGATCCGAAAAACAATACCTTCCCCTCAGTACCTCAGAGTGCCTTTAAAACCCATGTAGATTTATTGTTCTAAATCACAATACTAAATGTTCACGCTTAGAATAATACGGTATTATCAGCGTATTATATAGCGATTTCAATATTTCAAAACACAGAGAAATGAAATGAATTGTCCAAGGTCACCCAAGAATATCAGCAAATGGGAGCTGAGATCAAAGAAGAATTTATAAAACACACTATTCTGACAATAAAGTGTTTTAATAATCTCACTCTGATTTATACTCTGAGTCCTAAGCAGATATTCAGGTTTTGGGGTGTGGGCTCAGCTCCCTGAGTCTGGGCAAACCAGCTCTGGAAGTGGCACTGCTGCTCACCTTCTCCTGCAAAGGCGATGGAATGATTCCGTAGCTTTGCTGCTGAGCCCAATGCCCATGACAGTGCCAGCTCCAGGGGCAGATGGGACAGTGATCCAGTAGGGATGCTGCAGTCAGACATCAGCACCATGCACAGGGGCTGACCATGCCACACCATCAAGGAGGAGGTTTCCTTCTACAACCAGAACAGCCCTTTGATGCAGGGTTGGGGAGGAAGGAGTGACAAAACGAGGGACTCGTGGCAGGGGAGCGCTGCTGGAGCACAACAGGGGTCAGGGCAGCGCAGGGGGGATTTATTCTGAAAGGGAAAAAGGCTCTAATGATGCCCGTGGTCCCCAGGGACTCCACCAGCAGTAGTCGAGGTGAGGACTGGGAGGTCCCCGGCTCCGCCAGCAGTGACAGGCACTCCAGCAGGGACGGGAGCATCGTCTGCCAGATCTTGATCAAAAGGACAGCAGCAGAGAGAGATGCAGCTCACACTGGGAAGGTGTCAGCACAGAGAGGCAGGCAGCCCCTCGGGAGCAGCTCTGCTAAGCAGGCACTTGAAAATAATCAATCAGCAGGACTGGAAGACATCCCCGCACCGCTCGCTGCCGGCAGCCCTGCAACCAGGGAGAGGAGGGAAAGCACTTTGAGCAGGCTCCTTCATCCCCCACAGGCAGCCACTCTTCTCTTCCTCTCCAGCCAAGGTGTGGCAGTGCCCTGCAGGGCACACAGCCTTCCAGAGCCCATCTTCATCCTCTCCCTCCTCTCTCCCCAATCAGGGCTTGGTTGGAAACCCCAGGCAGGCAGACTTAGTGCTTCTCTCTGGGCAAAGCAATGGCTGAAGTTTCTGCCCTGTTAGGAAAAGAGGGAGCCCTCCTGCCGTGATGAAGAGCAGAGAGAACCATTCCCTTCACCCCGTGACACAAGTGGGAGGTGACACAAAGATTTGCAAGAATACTGGTTTATCCCACCATGCCAAACTCCATGTGCACAGCACCCCTTACATTAGCTCAGTATTTACTGACACAACACCCACACCAGTGAAACAACGTGTGTGCCACCTCTGTGGTTCACCACAGCCTCTGCTGCTGTGCCAAAGCCTGGGGTTCACGTGCTAACACATACCTGCTGCCCTGGTCTAACAGATATTTGCGTGCTCTTAGCAAACACCACAGAGCACAAACCTTTTCCATGGAGGTTTAACCCACTGCAACGGGTTTTTCATGCAAATGTCCCATTACAGCAGCTCTGCTGACATGCAGGCATTGAAGCATGATCCAAACCCTTCAACAGACACTTATACATGGTGCCTGTATCCATCATCCAACTGCTTTAAGGAAGAGAAAAAAACCACAAATGTTTCACAGACAGGAAACCTGGAAAATATCCATCTGAAATGAGGGATGGTCAGATGAGAACAACTAGTGCTTTCTGCCCTGCGAAAAATAATAACTCAGGCCAGTAAACTGACACAAAGAACTTCACCACGTCGATAATTTACTGTTCTTTTTTCCCTCCACGTGGCTACTGTTCAAATAGATCAAGAAAACAGATAAGTAACAGGCACCAAAAGCTCCCAGGTCTTTCAGAACCAGTTAACCTGCTTTCTTTGCCCGTCAGAGTTGATACACACAGCATCACTCTTCCCTCAGCTTCACCCCATTTCACACGTGCAGCTTTTTCACTGCTGGCAGAGGCTCATCTGACACTCAGTAGAGGTGTTAAGTCTTGCTCCAGAACCACTGGCCAGGCAGCGTTTTGGAGGGTGATGGGGAGCTGTAAGATGTGACTGTAGACTGACAAGCCTGGGTATCAGCAATTATGTATATCTGACGGACAGGAGGATTGCAGCTCGAGGGAAAGACCTTTTGCTGCACATAAAAAAAGCTCAAAGAGAAGCACACACCCAACCAGCCCTGTGCAGATTTCCCTTGCCTCTTATCTCCAAAGATATAATCTACATTTCCACAAGGAATTTGGAATGTCTCCCACTGGAGAGCCACGGATGTGTCACCACTGTTGTCACAGGGGAGCACAGTGGGTACCCAGAATCTTAGGGGGGTTCTGACTTGGAGTCCTGTATCTCAGAGTTCACCCTGCCAGCAGGACACAGCCACAATTTGCAGTGACTACTTCTTTCGCACTTTTATCTTCCCTGAAGGTAACCCCCAAGTGCCCTGACATCCAGGAGAAGGAAGCTGTCCTGTTTTCATACAAGGATGTTGAACAGATGAAAGGCATTTCTAACAGGGCACAAAGGTGTCATTCACTCCTGGCTGCTTGATCGTCACACCCCACCTTGGGCAGCAAGAAGCCAAACACTAAGTATGTGATTTTGGCCTTTTTTGCGGGGAGGAGACCATAAGGCACCAGTATTTCCTCAGCTGAAGCTTTCTGAGGTGAAAACCTATTTCATTCACTGACTTCAGATGCGGATAAAGAACCAAGTCAAAACTCAGCCTGGGGTGCTCAGGGTTTCTCCTTCTCATCTTCCAAAGGAAGGTTAGCCTGCTTCAGTCCATGCAATGCTAATAGCCTACAATTCCCTTATTAGATAAAGAATTGATCACGCTGCGTGCTGCAATTACTTCCAGAGTGGGCAGGTCTCATAAGGAAATGATGAATCGTCCATATTTCCAAAAGAATTTATTTAATGTAAAGCTGCTGTAACTCAATTTTCTCACTGTCCTCCTTCTATCCAGAAACTGGCACTAATTTACAGGCAAAGAGACAGATTTATCTGCTATCAAATGGACTGATCTGGCAGGAACTAATAACAATCCAGAACACAGGAGGTGTTACGACTGGACAGAGGAATGCCTCTCAGTGCTGTCAGCCTGAAGCTCTCCCAAACTGTCCTGGTTCAGAGCAGCAGCGGAAAGAAGAGAGAGAGGCAGCCAGGACAGTGTAGCTGGTACTAACCTGACACGGTGAGTCGGGCCTCCCGGCTGAACTTCACATTAGCGATATTGGTGGCAACGCAGTGAAATATCCCACTGTCTTCTGCTCTCAGTCCCGTTATCTGGAGAACCCCCTTGGGAAGCAGTGTGTACCTGTGGGAGGAGAAAAGCAGAAACAAAAGCTTGCAAAGCAGGGCACAATGTGACAGCAGGCTGCACACCCATCCAGCTGAGGCAGGCTGGCTCCCACATCCCAGTGCGGAGGTGCCAACACACCAAGGGATGTGGCCCCCGCAGGCCAAACCCACGCCTGTCACTCCATCAGTACTTTTATAGATACATGAGCCTCTGGTCTTCTTTAAGGGGGGGTATGTTCCCTTTCTTTATCTCCTGCTGCATCCTTGAGAAATGATGACTTTTGCTGGGAGGCTACAAAGTAAATGCTTCCTATTTAACCTGTGGAAAAGCTCTGGCAGTGCATTTTCACATGAACACAGGTGACACGGGATTTATCATGACGTGGGAATTATCACTCATCAGCTGCAGCACAGAGACCATGGACAAGCATCAGAAGTCTGTGCTCCACACTCCCCACTCCAGGTCCAGCTCTCAAATCCACATGACCTTGAAACCTCACAGGCATTAAAAGGCGTGTTTAAAATAAACACTGAGGGGGCAAATGTAAACATCAATAAATATTTCATATCTTTAAAACACGGGTACATTTAAATCACGCGTGCATACACACATACATGTACACATACATTACAGGTTGCTTGGCAACCACGTGTTTAAATTGGCTGGTAGTAAGCCATTACACCGTGATGAGTTAATAATCCATTTCCGTCTGGAAGATGCAGAATATCTTTTCCATATCAGCATATGGTTAAGTGCCTATAACCTGCTCCCCGTGCCGGGTTCCAAACGTGCGGCTCCGTGTCGGTGGCGGTGTGACAGCAATCAGTTTTACACGGCCCGAAGTTGATTGCAATCTCTCTGGGACTTTAAAATGCCCATTGTTTTGGATGAATTATACCACAAGAAGCCCTCGTTTTTGTTAACAATCTGCCCACAGCATTAGAAGATTCAATTCCAAAGCTATTATCCTGCCTTCAAAGCCTCCGAGTGCAAGACTCGGCATACAAATTTATATACACTTTATACGCAGAAATGCACCAGGCGTGATTAATGCAGAAATCCAATTCAGTTAGAGAAGCAACTCTCATCACCCAGGCTCTGGTGTCAGAGATTAATCTACTGAGCTGACAATAAAAGACCTCCCCAGTAACTTTACTCCTTCAAAAAGCCAAATCTGTTCAAAATCAGGACACGAATGTAGCAAAACTGCTCCTAGCCCATGAGCCCCAGGGCCTGGGCAAGGTCTCTGTCCTGGAGGAGAACCAGCAGGGATGAGATCAGCTTGGAGCTCTCTGGGTTGGAGAAAAGTCTTGAATTCTTGGTCTTGGAGCTCCTCAGCCTTGGGGTTACTCAGCCTTGGAGAAAAGAAGTCCTAGTCACGTTCAAGGCCCTGCCACATCTCTGACCATCTCCACACCTGTGTCCCTGAGATCAAATGCAAAGGATCAATGATGCATGGAGGACTTCATCTGTCCTGCTACATCTCATCAGGATGCCACAAGGCATCAGGCCCCGTTCTCTGACCCTTACTTCTGCTGATGCCACCTCGGATCAGTCATCCTGCTCTACCACATCCCCAGCTCAGCACCTGTATGAGTAAGAATCCTTCAGAGGAGATCAAGCTTAACAAATCAACCCTGTGCTGGGCTAAAAAAAACTCAGATGAAAAACGCAAGGAAAAACAAAACCTGACAGTTGCAGTTTTCCACAGCAGATTTGGGCCTCTTGGGTCCTTCTACTGTAAGTTCACCGCCACGCTGAAAAGGTCAGGCATTGTTCCAGCCCTCGTGTTTTCTCCTGCCTCCAAAGAACCCAAACACGTTCGGCTGCAGAACTGACATTTTTAAGAATAGGGGCTTTCAGGAAAGTATTTACAGCTTCCTGGTTTCTCCTGTTCCCAAGGCACGGGCGTCAATCCGCGATCGAGGTGTGCGGTGACCGATTGTCTCCCGCCATCGGGTGTGCGGCTCCCGAGCTCCAGCTGGGATTCCTGGAGGCTGCCGGCACAGAGCACGCGTTTCCTGCCACCTGTCCCACGCCGCTCCGAGGATCAAACCCTGATGAGGGATGTTTCCGACGCGAAGGGAGAGCCTGTCAAACACAGGAAGTGGCGACGTGCTGCTCCGGGTCTAGGCTGGGAAGGGAGGCAGCTGGAGTTTCTCTTTAGGAGAACTGCTTTGGATATGGCAGCCCATGGTTCCATGGAATGCTCTCTGCAGTTGCCACACACAAGGGAGTCCACCTGGGAAGGAAAGTCTAATAGCCACAGTGTAATTCAGCACTTGCAAGAGTTCAGTACGTGGAAGGTCCTAAGTCATGGATCTGGCTCAGAATGAGCCACGGAGGGATGATGGATGCCAAAGCTACTCAGCTCTTTGAGGACTGCTGGGCAGGTTCTTCAAGCTGGAAAACAAATCTGAAGGAGGGTTGATCATGGAGGATCAGTGCAAGATCTTCAAAATCAGCTAATGGGCTTTATCTACCTCTCCTGGGAGATGTCAGTACTTCTGCATGGTGTTTAGTCAGAGCGAGCCCAGAAAAGCAACAACATTAAGGGAAAGAGTCTTCCACGGCAGAAACACTGGCCAAGACCCTCAGCCCAGGTTAGTTGTCTCTGAGCACAACTGTGAAAGCAATAGCAGGCCTGGCCACTCTCTTGCACCTGGAGAAAGGTCAGCAGCACATGACTTGGACATGTCCTACCTTTCGTTGTCTGTGTTGACTGGCATGCTGTTCTTATGCCATAGGATGACCGGCTCAGGCAAGCCATGGATCTGGCACTGGAATCTTGCTACACCACCTTCCTCCACCACTGCGTTCTGAGGGTGGATGTGGAAGTCGGACATCGCTGGAAGGCAAAAAGAGAGACAAAATTATTCACATGTGAAGAGAGATCCACAACTAGAAGATGTCAACAACTTCACATGACCTAGAAACACCCTAATTTCCCAGAGCTAGCAAATGGGATTGTAATGCAAGAGCAGAAGGCTGGTTTGCAGCTTAACCTTCTGCATGGACAAACAGGACTAGTGGCAAGTTCTTGATATCTGCCTGCCTCTGCACAACCAGAACAGGAGGCCATGCTCCATGACCCACATGGTCCTCAGTGTGGTCTATGGAACCAGCAAGATACACAGCCACTGCACTGGCACGCATCAGAGGTCATTCTCAACAGCTTGAGCAGGTTTTGGACCTACATCAGAAAAGAGACGTAGATTCTTTATGTTGCTGCCAGTGTCTTAGGTACATTGTAAATATCCTTCGGATGTGCACAGCTTGATTCCTGAACTCACTTTGTTTAAATACCTTGACCAGGAGAGCTCTCCAACACCCTGGTAAAACCTACAGCCCTTGATTTCCATCTCTCTTTGCACGTGCTCCCGTTCATTGCATGCTCTGCCTTCCAGCACTGCAGAAGGAACAGCCACATCCCTTCGATGTGGAGCAACAGGGTTCAGCTGACAGAGAGAGCAGCTGCCAAGAGCTCAGCAAAGCGAGGCTTCTGGGGTTGGGACCACCCAACAGCAAATGACACACCCCACCACGCAGGATAAATACAGACCAGCCTGCTCCAGCACAGCCACAGCTGTAACCATCATGTGGAAAGACTCTGGCACGCTGTTAGAGCTACATAAATAATACCATAATTATTACTATTAATTAATTGGAAGGTGCTGCCTGTTGACTCCGCAATAAACATATTCGAAGCTAATAAACATCCCAGTGGTTCTTTAGCTCATGATTCATTTAAAGTGCTGCATCCATGGGGAGATCTCTCACATTATCCTAGAAAATAAAGTCCAAGAGAGATTCTGCTTCACCACCCCAGCCCGATGACACCCTTCTCCCAATCAAGAAAGCCTCGTCCCCTTTTACATGCATCAAGTGTAATGACTGTAGCTCTGCTAAGGTACAAGCTGCCTGTGTGTCAGGGCAGCTTAATCATTCATCTGCAAACTGCAGTTGGGCTCAGGCAGATGGGAGATGGCCATTAGCAATCATACATTAAATATGTGTTGCATTAACCTGCGCTGCTCCCGCAACCACCGCTCTCCACCCTCTGACGGCAGATTTGTTAAGCTGATGGAGCAACACGGAGCAAAGACCTGGTCCCGCACGGCCATAGGGTTGGGATGGGTTTGTAGCCATGAGGGTGGGATGGGCAGCCAGCCCCACATTGGGATGCACCAATGGAAGCAGGATCAGGGGTGGCTGCGCGATGCTCCGGCCAGATGGGAACACACCAGCACAAGGCGAAAGATCAGAGAAAATTGTATTTCCCTTTCCCAGGATGAAAGCTAATGCAATTATCCTCTCTGGTAAAAGATGGAGCCCAATGGTGCAATGGCAATTTACCCAATTCACATAAATTTAGCCTTGAAATGAGACTGATCATGTCCCAGAGCACTCAGCCATGTGGGAAGGAGCCCAAAGGCTGCTGCGGGGGTCTCCCATACCAGGTGATCCCTCTTCCAAGGTGGCAAGGGATGCTTCAAAAAATGGGGGATCCAGGGGTGCTTGCAGCAGGAGAGCTCAAGGAAGCCTGCAGGGAGACCCAGGCCAGGGTGAGCGTCTTGCAGCCAAAGCATATGAACCCTCACCAAAAAATGAATCCAAGAATTAATGAGAATGACCCAAAGCTCTTTAATAAAGAAAAAAAAAAGAGGGATTCAAATGCCTGCAGGAAAATTCCTTTCAAATGTACAGATGCTCAGTGCTGAGGTTTTTCAGTGGCTGACAGGGTTGATAAGAAGAGGGAGGTGTGAATGAGAACAGCCCCGGCACAGACTTCGCTCTGCTGGCTACAGAATTCACCGCCGTTCCTTTATTTCAATAATATCACCTCTTATAGGTAAAACTGCAGCAATAACCTCTACTCTTAAAGACACCAGTATTAATATTTATCATGAATAAAACATGGCAAGTTATAAATAATTCAGTTATGAGGATGTTAAGTAAAATATTACTCTTCAACGACCCTATAATGTGGCTTTGAAGCACAGTTTTATGTTAAATGCCTAGGAAACACTGTGACCCTTGCCAAGACCAGCTGGTTTGCAGAAGATGCATTAAAAATTCATGCACCGAGCTACAAAATGCTATTTTTAAAACAGGCTTACGTGTTTATTTACAGTTGCAGAAACAAAAGACTTTTGGAGTATCCCTTGTAAAACAGCAACAAAACTTCCACCTAAGTGATCAGCTGGTGTTTTCAGCCTGGGAATAAATCACCGGGTGGAAGGAGAGGGATAGGAGCTCAACTGCTTTACAGGGCATTGCTTGGAGGGGCTAAGTCTCTGCCGACCCAGGTGAGGTTTTTATACACCTCCCAACTGATTGTAACAAACTCATGGAGCAGAGTGCTTTGCTCCTGTTTGTCACTTGTCTTTCCTCAGCGAGAGCCAGGACACCTCTGTTATCCGCCGGGCACTATTGTTCCAGCTGCCATGGAGAGGAGCTGCGCCAGCCCGAGTGGGGTTGGCCAGCAGCCAGGGAGCTGCAGCTCATTTCTATGCTAATGGCCATAATAATTTTAAAAATAAATACATGCAATCACAATGTTCACCCGCGAGCTCCTAAGAGGGGAGGCTCTCTCTAATCCATCTGCCCGCGGTCTCCGCTATCTGGCACAACAGCATCCACGTGCCAATGGCAGGATTGGTGCTGCCCCAGGCCCTTTTTACCATCATCAGAGGGGGTGAATGCCACCCTGTTCCCATCAAACTTCCCTCTGCCATCTCCAGGTGTCATCAAGCCATAAAAACAACATAAATCACAAGCACACTCATTGCTCCACACTGACACTCCAAGCCGTGGTGTCTTGGTGCTTTTGCTTCCACCTCACCTGGATATGGCCACGGTACACAGAGATTGGCACAGGGCAGGGAGAAAAAAAAAGGGCTCACAGCAGATGAGGAATGGTCCTGGCAGCCTTCCTACACTGCAGGGATGGGAGAGCCTCCTCCCAAAAGATGTTGGCCAAGGCTAGGTTCAGATTGAGCTGTCTACAGCCACACTGACACATGAGGTAGAGGAGTTACTCTTCATCCCTTCTTCCCTCATGTTATAGGATCCTCAGCTAGGAGGAGACTGGATCAGAGGTGAGGCTATTCCCTAAAGAGAACTCCATGCTTGGGATCATCCACATCCTATGGATGCAGTGCAGGTGAGCTCTTATGCTCATCCATATTCACAGAGGTTTCATTCTGGGGTCTGCTCTAATCAAAGCACAAACACTCTCTCCATCCCAACAGACCCTGTGGAAAGGCCAACTGAATAAAAATGAAAATAAGTATTGAGTGAAATTTTCTCTACTCCATAAAAAACTAAATTGAAACCATTAGTGGCCAATCCTTTTTTGCTCAGTACAGCATCAGTGTTAAGCCAGAGATTGACCCAGATTTGATATAGAAAAAGAAAACATTAACTTGGCATGTCAAAGCAAATCCCAGGCCTTTAGAATCATTAAAACGCAAACATTGTGCAGGCACAAGGAGAGGAGGAAGACTTGAAAGGTTCAGTGCCAAGCATGGTGTTAGGAGAGCTTTTGGGAAGCCCAGCTAGTTCTGCAATCACATTGCCTTTTGCTTTTAATTACTTATGGGGAAACAGAGACCCAGGTCGGTTCTGACACAGAAGGACGCTGGGGACGGCCAACCATCCTCACCACCATGGATGACACACAGTCCACAAACAGCAGCCCTCAAGTGAAGACCGTTTCTTCACGTTTCTGCCACCAACCTGTTTAATTCAAACCTTAAAATGCCTCAAAGTTAATACAGTATAAGGAAGAAGAGCTTTATGAGATGTGTCTCCAGTACCTAGGCCTCCAGATGCCCCTGCCAAGGGCAGGCTTTGTTAGCTCCTTTACAGCTGAGGAAAGTGAAAATCTGGGAGGCAAATGATTTGCCCAGTGCAAGAGAACAAGCCACAGGCAAGTAGACCCCTTCCAAGATTGGCTTCACCCCAGTGATGGCGACAGCTGTTGATTTTCATACTGAATTTCCCTATTTACTAAAAAATTGAATTTCCCCTCAGGTGACCAGAAGTCAGGGTTGTTTCTAAAAGATGACTACCATGTCAATTAAACCTAAACTTGAACCACTCTCAAATCAGGCTGAGAGCTCCAGCAGAACCAACCTTCACGATCTGTGAGGTTTACTGAGCACCTAACTCCTTCCCAAATGTCTTCCCTGCAAGCCACCAGCACCAAGGCAAGCAGAGGGATTAAATTTTCCATTCCCTCTTGTCTTAGGAGACCTTCACCATTAAGTTAGTAACCAGCCAGGGAATATTTTCAAAGAAGTCAGCAGGTGAAGGCTCTGCCAACACAGGTCCCTCATTTGTCCCTTCCACACTCTGGAAATGGAGGATTCTCCTGCAAGAAAGAGCCAGCACAAAAGATGGGGGGCGTATAGACACCACAAATCCCATCCTCTCCCCTCTCCCCCCTGCCTTCCAACAGCGGCGCCTTCCCAAGTCTCTCAGAAAAAAGACACCGCATCTTCTTTCTCTACATTTTTTTTCCTTTAAATTTTAAAAATTGCATTTTTATGAAGCTAAAATAAAAGCCCACGTCACGCCAGCCCGGTGGCTACTCCAGCTGCAGAGCAGCCTCTGCGCCTGCGAGCCGGCCCTGCGTGTCTAATGACGCTTTTGTGCGAGGTTGTTGCTGAACTGCCATGAGCCCAATTTTGAATGCAAGTTGCTTTGTGCATAGTGAAGCGTGAACAACAGCGCCGCCCATTTATCTATTTAATTCTCCAGGAGTAGCAGGAGCGGGGCCCTCCGCTCACATCTAAAGGGAAGAAAAATCGCCTTTCTCTCAGCTTTGGAAAAGGAGGGAAA